GACTGGGAATATTTAGCATGGAGACTCTTTGCCAAAATTATGCAGATATTTAAAAGGCTACCTTGTGGAAGAGAAGAAATTTAGCCTTTATTGATTTAGCCAGTTGAGTGGGTTGAAGTTACAAAACAGAGTTTTAGAATTATAAAAGGAATATCTTTATCAGTAATTCTCTCCATTAAACTTTCCTGTCACTGGAAATGTAGGAGAAGCTAGATGAGTATCAATAGGTCTTCAGAAATCTGACAATTAGTATATGTAATAAACCTTTTGGAATAGAAATCTCCATGGTATGTGACATACTTATTCCTTAATCATGAGTCATAATGAGTAAAACTTAATGTAAACATCATTAGACGTTTTTAAAAAACCATTAGATAGAAGTACCATATTTTGCCATGTATATATAATGTGCACTTTTTTTGCCCAAATTTTTGAGGGAAAAATGAAGATGCACATTTATACATGGGTAGTACTAATTCTGTATCTATATAAGTGTTTTTAATTCTTTTATTTATGCTTATGCATTAAAAGTGTGACTGTAAAAAGCAATAATGATATCCACATGCAAAATAATACCCTGGAATACAATAATCATTTTTGTTTCTGATATAAATAAATAAAAATAAATAAATAAATAAATAAATAAAAATGAAGATTTTTTTCCCTGAAAGTTTGGGCCAAAAACATGGGTGTGATTATAGATGTGAGCATATTATACATGCAAAATATGGTATGTCTGTTGCGCAGCTTGTTGAACAGTACCTATTATAATCAAACATTTGCTCCAGACAATGAAAATCAATAGTATACCTAATCTGAAGCCTAACAAAAGTACTTCAATTAGAGTTCCAGTAAGAAAGTTCATTAGCTGATTGACCTTGGGCAAGTAGTGTTTTGTCTTAATTACCCACCTCAGGGGATTGTGAGATTAAATGAGTTCGTACATCTAAAAACCCAGTGAGTGTCTGGCCCAGGGAAGTATTCATTAAATAGTGCTAATATTTGTTATTTACAGTTTTAAGCTACCTAGAGGCATTATTTGAGAGATTAGTATTTTAATCTGAGTTTTTAATTCCTAATATCTGTGATTTTGTTTTCTTCACATGTGACCATCCATTCTCCACCTTAAACTGTCCACAGCTAAATGTGGTAAGGCCTCATTTATCTGGCATTGTTCAAGGGGAAGAATGTTTGACATGAAGTGAAACAACTTCTGATTAACTTCCTAAAATGTAAACTTTTAACCATTTCAAGATTTGAAAATAAGTGTATCACTCACATAATTTACTGCCTTTTTGATACAAAGATCCGAGGCGCTACTCTCTCTGATGTGTCAGTGTTGTTACGTGCACATATAGGGTAGGGCAAAATACAGTTTACAGTTGTTCCTATGGAAAGTAATGCAGTGATTAGTAAATAATAATGCAAGAATGAACTCTGCGTTTCTTGTAAACCTACGTGTGCCTCACCCTATATTTATAATTTAACAGTTGTTTTCATTAATATTTTCCTTTTCAAGCAGTTGTCACTCTTTTCCTGTTTGAAATCCTTTTTTTATATTTCCCAACCATTTTTATAAATTTTTATATCTAATCTACCCTGGCTTCGGAAACCAGCTATTAAAGCTTTCTAATAATCGTATGTTTAGAATGATAAGATGTCTGGAATTTGCTTGAAAATATCCAGGGGAGCAGGAAGGGGGAGTTGTGAGTTATTCAGGCTGGACAATGGGTACAATTATTACTCTGTTCTTTCTGCCCTTGTACGTGTTCGCAGATTTTCATAAAAAGTTTCTAAAAACCCCACTAAAATTGTACTTAGATATATTCAGTTCTATGTGTATTTATTTCTTATCTTTGTAAGGATTCAGAAGAAGCCTAGTAGTATTTATCTTTGGACAGAAGGACTCAGAGGTAAAGGGTAGGGATGTTCACTTTTTATTTGTTATGGTGGAGTTTTTTTAACCACCATATATTAGGCTTGCTTATATATTTGTGTGTGTTTTTCTGATGTGTATCTAATCTGGAAGAAGATTCACTTTCTCATCTGTAAATTGGAAGTACTAATAATATCAAACTTACGGGATCATGAAGCTGTGTACTTCTGTATTAACACATTTTTTTGTTTTTGCTTTTAAATAGATATTTTAGACAGATAACGCGGGGTTCTGTGTGAGGTGCTGAAGGAGCAGTGGAAGGGCTCTGTGATAGCTGCTTCAAACTTCTGAGAATTCTTTTTTGTATCAAAATCTGGGTTTAAGGGTCTTAATGATTGATGTTTGCAATGGTGGCTTACTTGCTGACTGTGCCTTGTTTTTTATGTCTTTATTTCTTTATTTAAATATTCTGCCCTTTCTGTGTTTACCATTATCGAGTGAAACAGATACATGTCTAGCTGCACAATGTAAATTTAATTGTAAATCACCACTGACATACTGGATTCACAATTAAGCATTTCCCGAAGGTGGGAGTATAAATTGGTGCCTCTTTGGGAGGCAATTTGATAAAATCTATCTATCATAACTTAATGTATACACTCTTTGTCATAACAATTCCTTTGCTGGGAATTTATCCTAAAGTCATACTCACATGTGTACAGAGATGTATGAAGAAATTGCAGCTAGTGTCTGGGTGGAAGAGAAAAGAAGAGGGTGGAGTGGGAGGCAGACACCTTTTGTTGTATGTCTCTTGAAGTTCACTTCTTCTTTTACCTTACATAGTTACTGCTTTTTATATTAAAGAGAAAAACTAGGGTAAAGAGAGCCTTCTTACCACCTGTGTTACCCATATATGGGTAACACAGCATGTACAGGTTCTTATTCCCAATGAATTTTTTGGGTTTTGTTTTTCATAAAGGGTCAACGTTGCTGATAGCAGGCTTTTCTTCATTGCTCAACCTGACATTGTGTAGGATTTTGACAACCCTAAACTAATCATTTGATAATTGAGTCCATTTCTGATAGTAAGAACTTTTATAATTTTATTGCAGAAATGTATGCATTTGTCCTTTTTTACCTATTTTTCTTATACATACCCATCCTTTAGCCCAGCTTCATTACTTTTGACCACCTGGTTTCTCTCCATGCTCATATACATAGAGAGGCGTGTCTGGTTCTACTCTATTTCATAAACATGCCCCATAATCTCCTTTAACTGTTCCTTCTCCCTGGAATTTTTCTTCCAGTGATTCTTAACCTCCCTTTACACCTTTGGTGCAAGTCTTATTCTAATCTTCATGTAACAGCTGAGATCTCACTTTAAGAAGTTTTCCTTATCCTTTGTAACAAATTAATTTCTTAATTGTTACTTTCAGAAACTTTGTATATGTTTAGGGTATTCATATTATGCCTTATATTAGAGGTTGTGTGTCTACTGTTTATTTGACTCTCCCCCACAGTTTAATAAGCTTCTACACTGCTGGGATCATATCTTACTCATGACCTTGTGCCAATGCCAGGGTATATAGTTACTTAGTATATTTTAACTGGATTTGAGCAAGAGTGAAAAATGTATTGACCAGTAATCAGTTTTGTGACTTAGTGTTGCTGTTTTGCCTTGGAAATGCAATCAGTAACATTTTCAGTAGATTTTTTTTTTTGTACTTTGTATCTATTTCTTTTTATCTGCACGTGAGGACATTTTTTTTCATTGGTTTTATTTAGAGAGGAAAGGGAGTAGGGAGAGAGAGAGAGAGAGAAAGAAATATCGATTGGCCACCCTCTTGTACATTCCCCTACTGGGATCAAACCTGAAACATGGATACTGCCCTGACTGGGAATCAAACCCTCAACCTTTCAGTCTGTGGGATGACACCCCAACCAACTGAGCCACATCGACCATGGCAAAACACCATATCTACTTTTTTAGGATAGGTATTTCTCAAGTCAGCAAGAAAATTAAGTACAACAGGAAGTTTATTAAAGCTACAATTTAAGATATGCAAATGTGAAAGGTTTCTAACTTTACACTGTACATTTCGCATGTATCAGTAGTCACTGTTAGACACTTTGATCTTGCTTAATATACTTCAGTGCTGAATGTGTATTTTAATGTGAGAGTTTTTGACATCAACATTTAAATTTAAAACTTTCATCTAATTAATAATCTTAACTTTAATGGAAATATTTGCCTCTATAGATTATGGTTTGAAACTGCTAATAAATTCAGTCAGTGATACATGATCTTTACTTAGCTCCTAAACCATGAATAGTAGGTTTCATTTTTTGTTAACATATATGTCTGAATTGAAAGGGGTCATGGCAAATAAAGCAGTAGAATGCAATCATAGAATGAAAGTACTAAACTTAGTCCCTCCATTATTAACTTACACTGTGTTTAGTAATCTACATACAATATTGATATTCTTCGTCTTTAAAATGAGGTAATAGCCTCTGATACTTGATAGTTTGTGAGGTACTTTATCATTACCATTTTTAAAAAATGATTCAACTTCTTGTAGCTTGTTGAAGCAGTTATCTACTATTCCTGTTTGATTGATGGGAAAATTGAGATTTAGAAAAGTCAGTCACTCAAGATTTGGCTAACAATGAAATACATAATATACTTGGAATGAGACCCCAGAATTTACCACACAGTTAAGGCCTTTAGCTGCAATCATGTTGTGGTGTGTTTTTTGTTTATAGAATTTTACATAAATGCAGTGATATTATTATCAAAGAGTTATCTTGATTGTCATATAAACATATATATTCCATTGCGTATTTAAATCTGTTTCTCTGGGTGGTATCTGATAACAGATTAACATTTGGGGGTTTGATTTTCAGTACTTTTTCCAAGTAAATAATTTTTAAAACTATCACTAGTATTTTTCTATTTTTAAAATTTGGCTTCAAACCAATGTTTCATTTTAAAATTACAGCATAATTTTAAAGACACAATTAGCTGATGTTAAAATGTTAATATCCTTGAGTTGTATAATTAAATTTTTTATTCAATACTTGATTAACAAATATTTCTGAATTTTCTGTCTTTATTCCACAGAATGGTAAATAACGCTGATCATCTCTAGAAAGGATATTGATTCACCTCATGTAAAGTATGCTCAGTTCCTTCCCAGTGGTGTAAGTATCTAGTCCTCCTAATTTTTACCTTCTTAATTGTTTTAAATAAAGTTAAGAAGTCACTATGATTATGATTCAAAAATGAAAGCAGGCATTTGTAGAATTGAAAGAATTTTTCCATAATGTGGTCATTTCTTTGACAAATTTTCAAATCTATCAACTTTCTCTTTTACCATTTCTGTTTTCAACTTTCAAGTCTGATATTAATTTTAATTCAACATAAAATTATTCTGCTTATTATTTTAAACTGGCTAATAGCTGAGAAACATGAAATAGATATTAAGCCATATGAGAGAACACACTGTTGTACTTGTGGCAAGCACACTGTTGGAAGAATGTCACCTTAATACTGCCTTCATATGCAAACTCTTAGCACCTTAGCCATTTTCCTTTACCTACTCGGGATGATAATGTAGTTAAGTCTATTATTAATGTAGTTGTGAGCCTTTCTTTGGAGTTAGGCAAAAAATACAAATTGAGATGATGGTATTATGTTGAAAATTTGTGTGTGTGTGTGTGTGTGTGTGTGCGGACACTAGGATATGAGCTGTAACCACTAGTTCATATTAAATAGGCCTCTGAGTAAAAGTATTCCGGTAATTTCAGATATTAGAGAAGACAGAGTATCTATTAGCTCATTAAGCGCATCTTTAGAGTCTAATGCAGAGTGCCTTTAGCATAAGTATTTTCTAAAATTTGGTGCAGTCTCTGTTTCAATTAAATCCCTTCCGTTTTGGTTGACAGTTCTATAATCCAGTAAGGAGACAGTAAGATAGGTTTTCCTTATTATTTAGGTTTTTCATTAAAGGTTTTTCCCCTCTCATTGACTCCGTCATTTATTATGAAGTCTCTGGAATAGGCCCAGCAGATGCGAGTTGCAGCCTGCGCTGATGCCGAGTAGCTGTGGCCCTGGGAAGTGGGAGGCACTGCATGGCTTTGAGCTGTAGTCCCCCCGCCTCCCTTCTTTTTAAAGGATTTATTTTCAATGGCTATTCTTAATAGCCATTAGAATGTAAGCATCACGAGGCCAGGAATATTTGCCTGATTTGTTCCTTGTTGCATCCTCTGTGGTCTAACACATAGGAAGCACGCAGTCTTAGTTGAATTAATGATTTCTGTCTAAATGGCCTCCAGTTTTCTGATTCCACATGTAGTTTATATGTCCCCCTCTATAAACTTGTGTTTTCACTTGGATTTTTTTTCTAAATGTGCATGAAGTGGCTACAGAGAAATTTCAGTCTTAATCAGTGGTGATTTAGAAATAACAAAGCGTGATTGACATTGGAATATAGTGCTATTTTTCTCAAAGTCTTTTTATTATGAAAAGAATATTTTTATATTGTTATCTACCATCATAGCCTCTATTATGCAGTTTATCAGTTCTCCTGTTGGTTTGAATTATGGATCATTTTACCATACTGTCATGCTCCGTCCCTACTAAATCTTCATTTCTTTCTTACTCTCACTTCCTATCATTTTCTTACTTTGACTGTTGCTCCTTTGATGGTAGTATTAATTGTGAAAGAAGGTGATATGCCACAAATAGTAAGAAGGGCCTGAGTTCATCTTCAGGTGATGAATATTATGATTGACTCTAGAATTTGTTAAATCATCATGCTGTAAATACCATATAATCAAAACAAAACTAACTTATGACCAGGCCATCTTTTGCCTAGTCATTCCAGATAAAAAGATAAAGACAGCACAATCAAGCTGAAGAAAATGCTGTATTATGCAATAAAATCTCACTAAGCATTGATGCTTTACAAGTAAGGAAATAGTCCTTTTTTGCATATGACTTCGAGATTAATCATTTGTGACTATTTTAACCTTTTTTGCTTTACATGTGTGTAGAATTTAGTTTAAGAAAGTATGTTGTGGACCTCATGCCATATCCAAGAAGAGTTTGTGAACATATCCAACTAAGGATAAATTTTATTGTAAAATAGGTTTACTATTATGGTCTTTTATAACATCAGTTTTTGAACTGAACCATAATTCCTGAATTTAATTGTTCTTTTATGCTTTAAGCATTGTCTGTGTTATTGCAGTGTCGGAATTCTTTTCACACATTTTCAATTACTGTTGGCCTGAGTCTGCATTTGGATTAGTAATTTAAAGTGGAAGATGTTCGGAATCCTGTGAGCGGTCTTTGTGCTACATAAGAAAATTAATTCAGTTCTTACATGTTATCTTGCTGTTACGAAAGAATTGCTGGTATCATGGACTTAGATAACCTTTGTAGGTCATTTACTACCATAATTGCATGATTATGTCCTGAAACTAGGTAAATTATAAGAAATAAAATTTGGAAATTACAGAATGTGTGTCTTTGTTTATAATATGCACATTGGGATATTATTCTCAGTATTCAAGAAAGCTGCTAATCTTGGCATTTTCTCAGTAAAATATTGTTCCTCCAATGTCATATGCATGACTTGATGCTGCTCATTATGCCATTATCGTTTTATGTATATGAGGTCCGTCAAGAAAGTATCCATCCATGCACTATGAAAAATAGAGACATTTATTGAAGAAGATACAAGGAACCTTGTACACAGGAAATGACGTCGCAGTCCCCTCCAAAGTAGACACCTTGGGACCTCACACAGTTCTCCCAGTTGCCATCAGCTGCCCCATCATGTTTTCCTGAATCTCATCCACAGTCTGAAATGTCTTCCCTTTCAAAGGTGATTTTAGTTTTGGGAAAGCCAGAAGTTGCAGGGCATCAAATCTGGGCTGTAGGGGGGCTTAGTCACCTGGGTGATTTGATGTATTGCCAAAAATCTCTGCACAAGAGATCACGCACGAACAGGTGCATTGTTGTGATGAAGCTGCCAATCACAAATTGCCCATCGCTGTCGCCTTCTGAATCATCAGAATAGTTTCTGTGGAGGAATGTTCAAGCTTAACACAAAATTTGATGCAGATTCATTGCTCTACTTGCTTAGTTATTTTAAATGTGATGGCCACTTAATACACATGCTCACTCAGTGGCGTCTTAGTACAGTGAAGGCATCATTGTTCACACATGCTCATTCCAGTGCACTTGCCTTGGCTGCTAGGTTACTTCAATGTTGCACAAATCATTCTTGTTATATTAACAATGGTTGGACTTTTTCTGGACAGACCTTGTATATTCCATTCTAGCAATTGTTGATCTTTTTACTTTAGATATATCTTTTATTATTTAGGATCTCTCAGTGCAAATCACAAACATCTAATTTAAACAAGGTGAAACAAAGGGAAATTTATTCTCTTACATAATAATACAGCAAGAAAAACAGGAATATAGCAGGGGTTTAGGAATTACTAGAACAAGGATTATGAACACTGCAAAGCTTTCTCCTTTGCCCTGCATTTCTTGGTATATGCTTTTAGTCTCCTACAGACTAGCTTTACCAGATTAGCATCTTCCTGCAACTGAACACAATTATAGTGACTGTCTGCTGGTCTACCCTGAATATTTTGAAGAGAGCAAGGCTTGGTTTCCTGTGTGTCCACCCCATTGGTTACGAAGTAGAGTATTATGAGTATAAGCCCCAAGTACATGTGGTTGGAAACAATGAGGCATTCTGGGCAAACAAAATTAATTGGTCCTTTCTGTTATCTCCTTTTATGAGTTTTCGAATAACAGTGTGTTCCATTATCAATGAATCTGAAATGACATAAAAGAGTACATTGTTTCAGATACTGTGGAATCTTTAGTTCTATTACCAGCTTTTTAGTTACAGGTTAAATTCATATTATGTATTTCAGTTTCATGCAAATATAAAGTGCTGCTCCATACAGAGAGAGATTTGAAGTTATACAGATTACTATCTGTTCTGACATAAATAAGACAGGAAAACATTGTGGGGCCATAAAAAACTTTTTTTCTACACTTGTAAATTCTTGTAGTTGGGCTAATAATCAAATTAACAGAGGCAGATTAACAGGACTAAATGTTCAAAGTTTGTTATACAAATGTCCGTTCAGGGGTGTCATAATGAGACCCAAAGAGGCATTCAGCAGTTGAGGTTTATACGCCATTTTAGACAAAGGAGAAGGGGGGCGCTGGGGTGTGGGATTTCAAAGGGAAATAGGCAATTCATAGGTAGCCAAGAGAGAGTGGAACGTATGACAAATTCCTGCTGGGCAACCCGAAAACAGTGGAATCGAGGGGAGAGTTTAGCAGAATAGATGTTTGCATGGATCTTTCCTGTCTACCGTGCTTTAACTGTTACTAGACTAAGATGAAAGTTGTAAAGTGAGTATGTTAAGATTCCCTTCCTGAAGCAGGGCATCCCGTCTGACTTCCCTTCGGCAGGAAAGGCGGAGGGTCAAAGGTTCTTGCTGAGTCTTTGTTTCTTAATAACCAGCTTAAAATCAGTATCCCAAAAGGTTCCTTTTGGGTTGGGAAAACTTTGATCCCTTCAGTATTATGATTGATGTTTCTTTCGTTCTTTTTTTTCTCTTCCCATATTCTCGTAGTTAAAGGAAGGGCATGTCATCTTATGAAGTATTCTGAAAGCAATAAGACTAAAGTTAGCAGTGGAAAGGCCTTCATTTTTAAGGGAAAAGAATAATGTATAGAAACCTCAGTTTCCCAGATTAATAAATTAAGGGGTAAGCTATTTGGATTACTAAAGGGATTTGTCAGCTACTTTAAAAATATAACTTCCTAGGATAAGGATTAATAAACAGTAGTTCCCTCCCATCCACAGATCCTCAAGGTCCCCAGTGAATGCCTGAAACCATGGATATTAAACACAGTATATTCTATATTTTCCTATATGTACATACCTATGAAAAACTTTACAAATTAGGTAAGAGATTGACAACAATAAAAATAGAACAACTGTAACTGTATTATAATAAAAGTTATGTGAATGTAGTCTCTTAGCAGATTAGCACAAATTTCTTTTATTACCGTCTCAATTTCACAGATAGAAAATTCATTGTTACCCTAGATCTTAACAACCTCAGCATACAATTTTTTTTTTCTCATTAAGTTGAGAACTTTCGCCTTCTCACTTCAAGGAAGCACTTTATAGCTTCTTTTGGTATCTCCCAATTGTCAGCATCACTGTTGCACTTTGGGGCCATCAGTAAGTAAGATAAGTGTTACTTGAACACAAGCACTGTGATGTCGCAACCGTCCATCTGATAATTAAGATGGAACTAAGTGACTAATGAGTGGGTAGCCTGTGAGTCTGGAGATGCTGGACAAGAAGATGACTCACATCCCAGGCAGAATAGAGCAGGATGGTGTGAGATTTCATCATGCTGCTCAGAACAATGCACAGGTTACAGCTTATGAATTGTTTATTTCTGGTATTTTTCACTTAGTATTTTGGAACCATGGTTGACCATGGGTCACTGAAACAGCGGAAAGCAAAGTCGTGGGTAAAAGGGGGCTACGGTACTACTAAGCACTTGATAGAGCAAAGGGCTGAGGGTTAAAACAGAAACTAAAGTGTTGTCTCTTATAAGCCATTAGGAAAATGTTCATATAGTTTTTTTCAACAAACTTTTTAAGTATAACATATCTACTGAAAAATGTGCAAATCAGTGTACAATTTGGTGAATGTTCACAGTGAATGCAACTGTATAATGTAACTATCATAAACCATAGAACATTTTGATAACAGATCATTTGTGTTAAATAAGGTATACTATTTATTTGAAATTGGTCAGGAGAAACAATAAATGAGTTAACTCTGGTTGAAAGTTTTCTCACCCAGCCAGGTAGATGAAGATATATTACAGGGGGATATATTAAGTTAACAAGAAAATTAGTAGAGTACAATTATAACAGCTAAAACATTTAGAATAGCTAATAATTGAAAATAGTCCCAGTGTCTAAACTAGACTCAATAAACAAACCTGTGGTATATTCCTACAATGCAGTACTACTTAGCAAAAGAAGGGAGCAAACTGTTGATGCACATATTACAGACGAATCTCAAAACCTTTATGCTCCGTGAAAGAAGCCTTATACAAGAAAGCACATAAAAGTTCCATTTATATAATTTTCTAGAACAGGCAAAATTAATTCGTAGTGGGATCCAGAACCTGAGCAGTGGCTGCCTCAGGAAAAGGGACATGGAAGCGACATGAGGAAACTTGCTGGGATGATGGTGGTAACATGCTGTATCTCTGTAGGCACTTGAATTTCACATGGGTGCCTACTTCTCAAAACTCATAGAAAGAGAAAGAGATTTGTGTATTTTATGGAAAGTTGACCTCAAAAGAAAAAAAAAGCTGAGCAGATACTGAGCTCTAGTCAATGATATGCATGTGGGAGTATTTGGGGGAAGTGTGCATATGTCTAACTGATTTTGAAATGCATCAAAAAATAAGATGAATAAAGGGGTGGATGCATACAGGACTGGATATATTTGTGATAAAGCAAGTAAAATGGTAGTGGTAAAATCTTAAGTGCTTAGTATATAGGTTCACTGTAAATATATTTCAATTTTCTCTGTATAAAATTTTTATTATAAAGTGGTTGGAGAAGAAAACCTAGGCCATCAAGAAAGAATGTAATAATCATGAAATAAAGGTTGTTATGATAATTGGTCACGAGTATTGAAAGAAAACAGAAGATAATGTGTATGGGTATAAGGCAGATACGGTGGCCCATGGGGACAGATGTCCTGAAACATGTTCTTTTGGATACACAAAATATGTATGTTTTTATTTTTAATGAACTACCTCTAAAACTAGAGCAATTTCACCTAAAAATTCTAGATTTCTGCCTGTTTATTTTAAAAAGTATTTGAAAGAACAGTCAGTGGACTAGAGAATCCAAAATTTAGATAGTTTGTATGGAGATTTTGTTTATGAAAAAGGTGGCATTTCCGATTACAATAAGAGAGAGATATTACTCAGTAAAGCATATTGGATAACCAGCTACCCTTTTGGGAAAAATAAAGCTCAAATCTTAGATGAAGCAAAGATTTTAAATATAAAAGACTATTACTAGAACCCTCAGTCTATTAGTAGTTTTATCTAAGTGGTTTTAACTGGAGACTTTTAAGAGTACAACAGCCTGTATCCCAGATCATATGATTCCAATAAGTACTGCCTCTGTTGGAAAGCAGAATGATGTATGATTTTGGAGTCAGTAAGATCTAGGTTTAAATCTTCTCTGCTTCTTAATCAGACTTTTTACAAGGTACAAAAGCACTCTGGGCCTTAGTTTTCTCAATAATCAATCAGTTAATGTAAATTTTTTTAAAAAAAATTGACCACAGAATGTTGTTGTGAGGATTAGGCAAGATTACATTATATGAAATTCTTGCCCAGTGCCTTCTTAGGTGTGAGTGTTTAATAAATTTTTAATATAGAGGGTGAAGAAACTTTTCCAGTTACTTACGGGAACTTGCCCAGAGCTTGTTTACCTGAAAAGGATGAGAAAATGTCAACATTTATCTCCATCAGCACTTAATTGAGAGCCTACTACATGCAATACATACTATTTGGCACAGAACTATAAAAATAAAAATAGAAATTGCCAGTTTAAAATATGTTAAATAGGACATTTGGGTTTTATTGAAAAAGGAATTCAAGTAGTAAGAATTTTTATATTTGACAACTCCCTTGAATTTAATACAGCCATGTGCTACTTAACAGTGGGGATAAATTCTGAGAAGTGAGTTCTTAGGTGGTTTCGTTGTTATGTGAACATTGTAGAATTCACTGACACAAACCTGGATGGTATAGCTACTACACACCTGGACTCTACAGTATAGCCTGTTACTGCTAGGTTAGAAACCTGTACAGCATGTTACTGTACAAAACAGCACGAGAGAAAATGATTGCAATCAAGAGACCCAGTAAACATGAGATACACGAGGCTGCTGCTGTGGTGACATCGTGTACTGTTTTACAGCACAATTTGTTTTATAAGTAGAAAGAGTACATTCTACAGTAACAATAATAGGATATATAGTAAATACATAAATCAGTAATATGGTTGTTTATTATCATTATCAAGCATTATGTACTATACATGATTGTACGTGCTACACTTTTAAACAACTGGCAGTGTAGTAGGTTCATTTGCATCATCACCACAAACACGGGAGTAATGCATTGTATCATGACGTTGCAAAGGCTATTACGACGGCTAGGTGATGGTCTTACGGGAGCACCATTGTGTATGTGGTATGTTGTTGACCGGTGTTGTGGCATGTGACTGTATTGTCATTAACTCTGAAACATTTTCTGATGTGCTACAGTATCTTGTGTTAGTTAAAGTAAACATAATGTAGAAGCAATTTCCTGAGAAAACTAAATAGTTCGGTTTGGCTACAACCATGAGAGATCCATTTCTCAGGATATCACTTAACAGAGAATGCATTACAGAAATGAAATACGAAATTGCTAAGTGATGGGTAAAATGGTGCTTAATAAGTTTCTTTTATGTACCTCTCTTTTCTTTTTAAATAATTTTGCTGGTTATTAGTATTTGCTTCGGTTTAGCTTATCAAATCATTTGTTTACAATAAATGAAGTTATAGAGTTTCTAGGACAATTTTGCTATTATTTAGTAAAACAAAATAATACAAAGTATTTTTCCAGCAAACTTTTTATTCATACTCTAATGTAGAATAATACATTTGAGATGAAAAACACCTGTGAGTAATCATGTAGCCTGAATTTCATAGTGTATTTACTTAATCTGTTGTTTTGGTATTGCTACCATAACGGAAATCTTGGGTCATTACAATAGTAATGTCTTAGTCATTTTCAGTGAAGAAGCTCAGCATCTTCTGCTGAGCATCACTATAATGATATGTTTTTTGGTAGATATTGTAAACAAAGGGACTTTTTTTATTTTAATTTTAATTTTTTTTTTTTTTTTTTTTTTTTTTTAGTTTGTTGGAAACCATGTCTCACTATACAGATGAACCCAGATTTACCATAGAACAAATAGATCTTCTTCAGCGCCTTCGGCGTACTGGAATGACTAAACATGAAATTCTCCATGCCTTGGAAACTTTGGACCGACTTGATCAAGAGCATAGTGACAAATTTGGAAGAAGGTCCAGCTATGGGGGAAGTTCATATGGGAATAGTACCAACAATGTTGCAGCATCTTCTTCTACAGCTACAGCTTCCACACAGACCCAGCATTCGGGAATGTCCCCATCACCTAGCAACAGTTATGATACCTCCCCGCAGCCTTGCACTACCAATCAAAATGGGAGGGAGAATAACGAGCGATTGTCCACATCCAATGGGAAGATGTCACCAACTCGCTACCATGCAAACAGCATGGGTCAGAGGTCATACAGTTTTGAAGCCTCAGAAGAGGACCTTGATGTAGATGATAAAGTGGAGGAATTAATGAGGTTGGTTCCTTTGCTTATTCGGAGTCCCCAGAATGTCTGTGTTCTTAGATTGGTTTTGAGTAATAAACTGTATTTCAGCTGCTTACCTATAAGAACTGTGATTTCCCCCTGCCCTCTTTGGAGATGAAAGGAAAATTATAAATTTTATGTTTTTAATTCCTATTTTCTCTTTTCAACTTTAGCCCTTTCACTTTGCTGCTTGATAAGCCTTTTCCATTCTCTCTGTTTATCGAAGCAAAGGTTAGCCTTCTCTTTATGGCTCTAATTGCCAACATCTGAATGTTCAGCATCCCTAACACATTCTGTTCCTTAAATTCATTGTAAATCGTTTTTCTGAGAGTTAAGGTGATTTTTATCATGATACAGAATATATACAGTCTTAATTTTTCCTTCCCCCATACAGTCAAAAAATAATTTTAAGCACTTATTATATAAAAACTAGTGTTGTTAGGAAGAGGAAAAATACATGGTTTCTACTCTTAAGAAGCTAAAGTTCTAATTTTAACAATAGATGCCATATATATATATATATTTGATGTTATCCATTACAAGCCTGAGCACTTAGGGTTTTAAACCCTGAGAAAATGAGGAGAAGTCTGTTTTCAGCAGAGGCAATTAGAAATGGCTTCACACAGGACTTGGGACTTGGAAGGCAACAGCAGCATGTTTTCAATTGTTGTGTCTCTAGGATACGGACTATCCTTGGTACATGCTAGGGGTATAGTATGTTGAGTGAATGGATGAATTTGAGCTAAACTTTAAAAGCCTCTCTTTGGAATACAGGAACTATATTTAAAATTAAGGGAATAATAAAAGGTAGAAAAGGCAAGATGTGTTTTGTCTTAAAAGGATTACAGATGGGCTAGACTATGTTAATAAGAATAGTATATTTGGAGGCAGTATAGGTTTTGGAAGATTTGAGTTCCAAACAGATAGTTTATAGTTAATTTGTCGGAGTTAAGACATTTTTACAGGTCTTTAGGAATATAGATGGTAAAAGTATTGTTTTCAGTAGATTATCACTACAGGCATACCTTGTTTTATTGCACTTCACAGATACTGTGTTTTCATCAACATCAAGGTAGGACCTTCCACCAGCAAAAAGATTATGAATCACTGAAGGCTTAGATAATGGTTAGCATTTTTTTAGCAGTAAAGCATTTTTTAATTAAGGTATGCACACTTAATAGACTATAGTATAGTGTAAACATAAATTTATATGTACTGGAAAACCAAAACGTTCATGTGACTTGCCTTGTTGCGATATTTGCTTCATTGTGGTGGTCTGTAACTGAGCCTGCAATATCTCTGAGGTATGCCTGTACTGTAGTGGGGAGGAGAGGCTGCAGTTAGATTAGCTACTGTACATGATGAAAGAAGTTGTACAGGAATTTGTCAGAAATAAAAGTCTTCTATTATGTTCTCCCTAAAGATTTTAAGACTTGAAGATACTATAATGGTGACTTAATATTGCCATATGGAAGACCTATTCTCTAGTACCACAGTGGTATATTATCTTTTAAACAAACTGTCCTGAATTTATTTTCAGGATGGAACTGCACGATGGAATCCTGGGCTAAACAGGCTATTGTATCTAGATTCCAGAGTAATTCCTGTAATGAATAGTTTCATAGAACAACCACAGGACCCTATTATTTAGGCTTTTAAAACTTAAAAATACATGAGCTCAGTTTGACTTTGAATTCATTTTCATTTGTTAAAGCAACAAGCCAAAGTTCATATATTCTTTTTGAACTTAACATATGTATCATCAAGATTAAGAGAGAGAACCATTTGGGCAAATAAAAGTTACTTTAGTCATTGAAATATAAGAAGGTTAGCTTTTAATTACCTAAGTAGAGAGGAAAGATATCAACAATAAAATTTATTTGTTAGGATGCTAGCCTGTTTTTCGTTGTTGCTGCTGTTGTTAATGTTTTAATAAACTTTTAACATAACAGTTCATTTCCAACTGTGTATTAAACTAACAAGAAGTTTGGGAAAACTCTTTTTTACAGAAGGTTCTAAAAGATTGGTCAGGGTCTAAAACTTCAGTTAGCTCTTAGGTTGACATAATACTGTAATTTAGCTATATCCTCAAAAAAAAAAACAAAAACAAAACCAAACCCAGAAAACCTATTTAGCAATGACTGGGATTTGTACTTAAATTCTGCAGTTACACATGTACAAGTTCCATCATTAATTACATACCTGTTTATGTATTGTTATTAGCATTTAATTTACATACTGCCTCTTTGTAGCAAAATTAGGACACTTTATCGTCTTTTCTCTGCTTCAGTTTTTTAGAATGCTACTTTGGTGTGCCCTAATCATCTTGGGGTTTCATTGACCCTTCTGGCTCTCTGTGGTCCTCTACCATCGTACCCTCACCCACACCTACAATCTTCTTTTGGGCCCACCTTACATTTTCCTTAAGTTTGAAGATAGTAACAATCCTTAGATTGGAGAAAGAAGTTTATTGCATGACTGTTGCCACTTTAATCATTACCACCATGTTGTAAATTGGAGCAGAGAAATTGAAATTCATAAAAGTTAAATAATTGGCTCAAGAAACTAAATTTTAAGTGGCAGAGCCTGAATTTTAACTCATGTCTTTATTACCAGTGTGCCACTGTTACCTGTTCCCTCTGTAAATAAGTTTTTGATGTCTATAGATTTCAATAAGATTTTAGGAACAGTAGTTAATGTAACTCAAGACAAAGTATGAATGCCTTAATGGGCTAAGCACCTCCTCTCAACTCCCATGACATTTGCCACTTCAAGTTAATCAACTTACTAACCAAAACAGATTTTTATTTGGTAGAGTGTTAGAGAAATTTTTGAGTAGTGGATCTTCTGAGTGTCCATGCCCATGCAGGGCTGCCCTGCCTGTGATGATCACACAACGCTCTGGTGACATTGCAGTGGATCGAATTTGGTGGCCCCCAGAGGGGGAGAATGGGTGCTTGGTACCTGAATGCCTTCCTGCCTCTATTTCTGCATATATCATATACAGACTGGAGGGACAGAAGTAGGTTTACAGTTGTGAGTATGTGAAACACAGAGTTTATTCTTGCATTATTTATTAATTATTGTATTATTTTTCATACAAACAACTATAAACCTACTTTTGTCCCACCCTGTATAATTCACCTTTTGCATACTCACATTGCCCAACTTCTCTAGCACTCAGTCATAAGATATATTTTTCAAATTTCATAACCCATTGCATCCATACACTTAACTTTTTTTAAAAAAAGATTTTATTTATTTAGTTTTAGAGAGAGAGGAAAGAGAGAACAAGAGGGAGAGAAACATCAATGTGCAAGAGAAACATTGATCAGTTGCTTCTCACCTGTACCCTGACCAGGGACCAAACCCACAACCTGACCAGGAATCGAACCTGTGACCTAGCTTTGTGGGATAACACCCAACCAACTGAGTCACACTGGTCGGGGCTTTACACTTAACTTTCAGTAATTTCAAGATACATAAAGGAAATTTTTTTTTGTAGAAATTGATTGTTATGATTATGCCTGATCAGCTTGTTAAAAAAGAATCAAAAAGAAAATAACTGTTAATTTTTCCATTTTTGAATTGATCAGGGTAAAAAACATAGAAGGAAAACCAGAATGTAAATACTCAACAAAAGATTGTTGAATATAACATTCTAGGGAGGACTTTAAAGCTCCTAGCTTTAGAATGATGCCCATTTACATGTTAATATTTTTTAAATGCATCTATTAATACATATTTATATGTAGGTATGTATAAATATCTGCTAATATAGTATACATTTATGAAAGTATCTTCTCTTCTGTATATTAAAAAAGAACAATTGAATAATGAGGTTAGTGTTATAATAATATACAGGGTCCGGCACAAGTAAGGCCTGCTTGAGTGTTTTTGGTAGGGTAATAATATAGATGTAATAATTTATAGTTTTAGTTTGAACATTTCACCTAAAATGTCATATGGTGTGCTTGATTGTGATATTGTTATGTTACAGAATTACATGCTAATGACTTTGTAATTAAAAAGTGGTGTTGTTTGTGCTGGACCCTGTAATTAGCATTTTATACAAGACTCAGAGACTTTCTTTTGAGTTGATTATTTATAGCTCTAACAATAGGGCATTTACTTGTGTAGGTAGGGTACTTACAGTTTCAGAGGTCATAATATTCAGTTACCATGTTGTTCTTACATATAGAGTAGTTTTTCTTTTTTAAGTTATTTTTTAAAAAATTTAAATTATGCTTTTTAAAAAATTTCCATGTATAGAAATTAAAGGGAGCAAATTTCTATTCAGATGTGGAAGAACTTATATGCAATTATATTTTCCACCTGTGAAATAATCTGTCTTCTATCTCTGGAAATCTTTGAGATAAAAGACTACCTTTGATATTAACCAATGTCACCCCAATGAATTTAATAAAAAAAGAAAAAAGAAGCCTACCCTTTGGGGGGGTCCTAAAGAATGTCTAGTGTATGTCAGCCAAGAGATTATGGAAGATCTGAAAGCATACTGCTTTTAAATATGCAGTGTTTAGTATTCTTTGTTCCAGAAAAGAAAGTATTGCCAATTTGAGCTAACATAAATAATTCTTTTTTTTTTCAATTCTCATTCTGGTTTGGAAGTTGAAACATATTTAAGAGTAAGAATTTAGAGTTGTTTTATAAATTATCTAGATCGGGTTTTCCATTTTACAGTCTTTCATCTCCAACTGCAGATTTGTTCATTCATTGAACAAATTAATCTCTTTTATGCAAACACCATGATGAGTAAGACAGTTTTTGTGCTAAAGGACTTTACAGACTAGCAAGAGAGGTAACAAACAACTGTTATATGGAATAGCATGTAACATATTAGCATGTGGGTAGCATAATTGAAATGTTAAAGTGCTGTTGGAAGAAAAGGTCTTTTTTAGCTCTGAGGATCAGGGAGAACTTCTCTGAATAAATGACAATTGTCATCAGATCTGTCTTTAAAACAGGTGATTTCACAAAGAGGCATTACTGATTAATTCATCCAGATATTAAGGAAGGTCTGTGGATAACAATGGAAAGTTTAGCAAGTTATAAAAGTAATGGCAATGGAGGGTGGAAAGGAAGATTTTTATCCATATGTGGAAATCACCCAGATAGAGAGTTCGGCATGGCTGTGTTTGGAAAGGGCAGCAGGAGGAAATGACGTGGACTTCAAGTGCTTAGCTGCACACAGAGTGGGGGCTTCTCTGGGAAGTAAACTGTGGAATCAAAGGAAGGTCAGCCTTCATTTGACTTTAATTCCGTAAGACTTGAGCAAAAGACATCATGAGGAGTGTGAGACTTTGTAAGACATAGGAAGCAAAAGGGATTCATTCTCTTTAAAGAGGATGTCAAATTTCAGATGAAGAGAAGAACTAAGGAGTAGGAGAAAATGAGAGAATTATATTTGGAGTAAACTAAAGAGTTTTTACACCAAGAAACTGATAATTTCACAGGGTACAGTGTGTACAGTGGGAGAGGCAGGTTGTTAAAGAAGGCTGAATGAGGAGAGAATGAGGAGGGATATGTGAAAGTTTAAAGAACAAAGTCAACCCAGTAGGATGGAAGATTTTTAAAATCTTTAAGAGAATTGGACACAAAGAAAGTTGAATGCTGTTGCTATTTTGAAGGTACCTAGTAAAACCACTGAATGCCACATCATTGCTTGTGTCTAAAATGACTTTCTAGAAATATTTTCATGATGCCTTAAAGTACCCAATGCAGATGTTTAATTCAGTCTTATGTAGTTATAGCAAGGCATTCGTTTCTACTTTTCGTAGGATTCTTTTTGGTGTTTTATAAAATAATAGTTATTGTTTATGTAGTGCTTGTACAGTTTCAAAATGTTTACATTGAAAAACATTTTATTTTATGTTATACACACATTTAGTATTAAATTTCATTTAAGTTTAATTTCAGTGCTTGGAAAAATGTAAATATCTCAAAAGCTTTGTGATGGTGATATTAATGTTCCCATTTTACCAGATGATGAAATGAAAGCCCAGGTTTATTAAATGACTTGCCCGAGTGCTCCCTTTTCTTTCAAGTCTTAAATTTTTCTTCAATTCAAAAAAGATTCTCTTTGGTAAAGCAGTTGAGTAAAGAGGTTTTCTTTCTTTCTTTTTTTTTTTAGACCCATTGTAGGTACTTAGAAACTTGTCAAGTATTTAAGTGTAGTCTCCAAGAGTGTAAGTGAATTGCTGCTGTCTTGCTGCTGTTCTTGATAGTATAACCCTGCAAGACTGTGAATAATTCACAAACTGGATATTCCCTATTGGAATAATTGAGAATTACCTCCTCTGTCTGATTTAGTGTCTACTCTAGGTTAATTTGATTTAAAATAAATTGATTTAAATTCCAGATGACATCAATGGTCAAGAATATACTGTTTAATCATTTTCTCCATAAAAGCACATTTTTTAAAAACTCTACCTTAATAAATATTCAGGTTTTATTTTCTGAAAACACTCTGTGCATTGAAATGCAGTGTCTTATTTAAGTTTTTTCTCATTAATATTGCAGAAACCAAAAGATTTTGTTTTATGTATGTCAGCCAGTTGAAATAGATACTGCTGAAGTTATCTCTTGCTCAACTGATTATTGATGGATATTTGAGAGCTGTTTAGTTTATATTACCTGTACTTAACAGTTTGTTGTTTTGTTTGACTTTAAAATGAACTTATTTGTGCCTTTCCTGTCAAAGACACAATTTTAAAAATAAAATGAGAATGCATATTTTTCAAGGAAATATTTCAAACATGAACAAGCATTTTGGAAGGAGTTTAGCTATTATCTAGATCAGAAGCTAAATCAGTGTGGGAAATTTTAGATATTGGATAGGCAGCTGATTATTTTCTTCCTTTAGGAATCTTTTTAAATTAGGATTTCCAACCAGTAGGTCAGGAATATACTGTAGAGCTCCAGACCAGAAGCTGTCCCTAGTGTCACCTCTCTGTTCTTTTCCAGAGTAACTGAAAGGGAGCATGAAATCCACGAGCAGAATGTATAGAGCCCTCACCAAGGGGCTAAAATGTCTGCTCTAAATTAAGTTACAAGTGATTCTTTTTGGAAAGGGTACTTTTCTTTTGTTTCTCCAAACAATCTGTGGAGAGACTTGAGCTCCTGTAAAGAGTTTGTGGTTCATTCACCAAATGATTGTAAAGATTTCGTGATCCCTTTGTCTCAGATCAAGAGTCAGCAAACTTTTTCTGTAAAGGGCTAGATGGTAAACATTTAGATTTTGTGGACAAGAGGCAAAATGGAAGATACAATATAGATAACTTTACATACAAGAGAGAAAACAAATGGATACAAATTTTTATGAACAAAATTCAATGTAGAATAATAATTAAATACAATTTTAAAAGTATAAGCCTACTATTGAGAAAAATAGAATTTGGGAAGGGATAATATTTTGCTTTAATTCACATTTAAAGAAGTGTTTCCTGCCAGTAAATTGATAGCAAACGTTCATCTGTGAAAACCATTCTTAGCTCATAGGTTGTATAAGAGAAAAGGTGGGAGGCCAGGTTTAGCCCATGGGCCCAATTTGCTGACCCCTCTATTAGATTACGTTACCACTATTCTGTGTTACTTTTGGGCTTCAACAAAAGTTAATGTTCTGTTTAATATGTAATCCTTTCATATAATAAACATTCAAAGAGAAATTGCTCAGAGTTAAGTATAATTTTAATTTACATATTCTTTTTATTCTAGTGCGGAAATGGAAGTCTTGTTCATTCTAGTGAATGTCTAGTCTTTTGAGAATTTGTTGAATTTTTAAATAAGTAAAAGTTGTTTAGGCATCTTTGTGGAGGAAAAATTAGGTCTATAATATGTAACCCAAGGACGCAGAAAATAGTGTAGGTTTAAGTACTGAATATTGTGTATGACACATGTAATAAGAAATTAACAAGTGCCTGTTTATATAAAAATTTTATATGCAAACCACCCCACTTAAAATTTTTTGGTTCATACAGGAAAATCAGGCAAATGAAAAAGCAAAGACTATTTTGAAATGACTAATATTTTAGCAGTTGTGAGAATGATGATGATTTCTATTCTTCAACAAAGGTTTTAAAATGAACTGCACCTTATTTATGCAGTGCATAGTTAACATGCAAACCCACAATCTACTCACAACTGATTTTTTTGTTGTTGTTGTTGCTTTCTATTTTCTAGGATTTCTCTCTGTGTAAGATACATTCATTCCACAGTAATGAAACTTTGTGCATACCATATGGCAGCGTTGCTCCTAATGTGAATTATTCACAGCATGCTGTTAGCCATCTCCTGGTATGGAACTTAAACTACTGTGGCATTCACCAAAGCGTCCGTCTGATAGTGTGGTGTTTTAGGACCTGAATATTTGGTGTTTCTTGGTTTCTTTTAATTTCATGTTTCACACAAGCTTGGTCTGTTTGCCTTTATTTTTGTGTCCTTTCTTTCTGTGTTCTCCCCACCTCTCTGCTTCACCTTTCTTAGCAAAGATGAGGATTTCTGCCTTCAACATACATTGTTGGTCTTGTCTTCTGTTTTTGTTAGGAGGGACAGCAGTGTGATAAAAGAGGAAATCAAAGCCTTTCTTGCCAATCGGAGGATTTCCCAAGCAGTTGTTGCACAGGTAACAGGTAAGAGCTGAAGAGCCCTTTATTCTGGAATCATGTCTGATCTCTGCCTTTGGGTGCAGATGTTGGATTATTGCTTGCATTTCTGCATTGCAGTGCAGATCTGTCAACTTGGGCATAATAATCTATGCCAGTGATTTAAAACCCATTGTCTCTGATATCATGGCACTTCCCCAGTGATTTTTCAAAACTTGTGCTAGTAAGTTTTAATAGCATTTGTAAAAAAGCACAAAATTCCCTATTTTATGGCTAAGAAAGGGTTCTCTGGTTTTCTGGTAATTGTGACAGAGCTCATGACACATGGATTATCCAACTGCTACCTACATTTCATATATTTGCAGTCCTCCAAATCTAATTCTCGATTTTACCAATTAAAAAAAAATGATTCATGAGAGTAAAGGAAGTTGTGTTTTTTAAACCACTTTTCTGTATGTGAAAGCTTTTCTCAAACCATTGCTGAGAAGATAACAGTTATCATTGTCTTCTCTTTGTTTTTTATATCCCATCCCATTTTATATACCCACCCCACCTCATCCCTATCCCAAGTATGTGGTGTAAATGTGTCATTCTCTATTCCGACAGCATTTTTTATGAAGTTATTAAGTTGGGTAGCATGTCTTTTCTTTGTTGTTTCGTAGTGTTCCTTTCTTTGATATCAGTGATTTATAAAACCAACTATGCCTTAATCATTAGAGGAACCAGAAACTCTTTCAGCTACATTTTATAATTGGTACATCGTTGTGCATTGTGCTCTGATAGATGTGAAAATTAATTTTTCCTCCCCCCCTTTTTTTTAATATGCCAGTGGCAGCTATATGACCTTGGCCTTTTTAGTCTCTGTGCCTCAATTCCTCACTTCTCCAATGAAATAGTTGGATCTGATCTTCAATAGTACCTTCCAATTTTAAGATATTATGTATGTTCTGTAGACATTGATATATATTGAAGACAGTTTACCTAAAAAAGTTATTGACCATTAATTCAATTAAAAATCAAACTTGAGATTTCAGAAGTTTTAAATTTTGTCCCAGGAATTAAGGCCAGCCAATCTTAATTGTGTGTGTGTGTGTGTGTGTGTGTGTGTGTGTTTGAGAGAGAGATTGATTTTTGTAAATGACACTGTTCATGGTAAAAGACTTTAATTAAAAGCATATCCTTTTGTATGGAGATCTTAGAAGGATAGGTGTATGAATTTATTTTTTGTAATCTTCAGGTGTTTTTCAGTAGGATATTTAAAATAAATTGTTACCTTTATTTTCAAGGATTAAGATATAGTGCTAAGGGCAAGTTAAGTGGGTTTTACCAGAACCCACCGATGTGTACTGTGAACAGATGGAGTTCTGTCTTTCAGGGCTTTATTTCAGCCCCAAGATTAGAAGCCATAGTACCTTTTAGTTTGCCAGCCTGAAAAGAATGACAAAATTACAGCGCTATGAAACAGCATTCTAAAGTTGATTTTGTCCAGGCGGAAATATCTCTGAGTATCTTGAATACCTTGAATCTTGAATCATCTTGGAATTTTAAAATAGTAGCTTTTGAAACCAATCCAGAATTGATGCAAATTATAATAAAATACCTTTAAAAGGAATTTCTTAGTCATATGTAAAAACATTAGATAAACCATAATGGATTAAATGTAGTATATCAAATATTACCTTTTTGGAAAGGGAAACTGAGAGATGTTTTAGCCATCTTGCTACTCAAAATGTAGTCTATGGAAAAGCAGTATTGGGAGCTCGTTGGAAATGTAAAAATAGAGAGCATCACCCTAAACCTGAATCAGAGTTTACATTTTAACCAGGCCCCCAGGTGATGTGGGTCTGAGAAGCACTATTCTAGGATGCTGGTAAGCTTTCCTGGCTTCCGCTTCAATGGACTGGCATTGTTTAACTTTGCGCACTCAGTAATTGTCATCATGATGCCATCTCCTGTTTTTGAAAGCAAGAGTTGAAACACATTTATTATTTGTTATATTACTTGGACCTTTCTTTGCTGTTTTTGTACTGTTAAAATCTTCCCCCATTTCATCCTCACCCCAACTTATTCTTCCTTCTCTTCATTCCTAGTTTGAAAGCTTGGGTTCATTTTCCCTTGATCAGTTATCTTCCATAGTTTCCTGTTGACTGAAAAATGAGTCCTCATAATTTGACTCCAGCCTTCTTTTTATTGTCCTCTTCTATTCAGAATACTCCCTGGCTGAATTCAGCTACTCACCATTTCCAGAATTCTTTTTACCCAGATATGCACAAATCGGTTGAGACTAGGATGCCTTTCACCTTGTCACCTCAGCCTTATTTCTGCTTATCGAGGTTACCTCAGTTGCTGTCCTCATTGTACCTTCTTTGATCACTTCAGCTCATATGGACATCGCTTTTTTCCCCCCTGAAATTACATTAATTAGTCTTAGTTCACCACCCTGAGGTACTAAACCTCATTTCAGTTGTACATTTTAAGATGCTTTGTTTTTTAAGAGAGGAGAGGGAAGGAGAAAGAAGGAGAGAAACATCAGTGTGTGAGAGAAATGACGACTGGTTGCCTCTTGCACGCCCCTCTGTGGGGACCTGGCCTGCAACCCAGGCATGTGCCCTGACCAGGAATCAAACCAGCGACCTTTGCCAATGCACAATCTACTGAGCCACACCAGCCAGGGCAGTTACACATTTTAGAATAACAGTCTTTCTTGCACATCCCCAAAGAGTCTAGCACTGTACGTGCTCTTTGAAGATTTCATGTTTACATGGCTGCCTTGTAGGGTAAAGTGAGTATTGGTGAAGCTAACACAGATATTGAAAATCTTTCCAGTATGACTTAGTCCAATGATGTTTCCTCTCCAGAAATAATTATGTATTTGCTCAATAAAAGCTGCATGAATTTCTGCCCTTGGGAACTCACAGTTTTCTTTTATCTACTTTAATCAATGATTTACATAAGGCTAGGGAATGTGGATTTGTAATTAGGTTGGTTAATTCTCCCATTGGTCAACTTAACTGAATTCATGTATTCCTCATGCATTATTGTGCTACATTTTCATCCAGCACATCCAGTCATCAAGCTAAACTCAGGGGCAGGGCTTTTCATTCCAGAAAAGAGTTTGCATTAGAAAGAACAAACATAAATCTAGGCCCTTGTAATTGGACTATCGGGGACAGAGTAGCCCGAGTAAGGTGGTCTTCTGGGCATCCAGGGCTTCCTCCACTATCTGCTAAGTACATAGGCACATTTTCCTGTCTTTAAACAAATGAGTCCAGTGTGTTTTATAGAAGAATGACTACCTGATGAAATCTACCCCAAAATAATGTTAAGGATGTGGTTGTCCAAAATCTCTGTCCTGTAATGAGTCTCTTGAAGTCAGCCAAGTTCAACTCTAATGTGTGAAATAATGAAATAAACCAACCCTGAGATAAACAGGAGGAAAAGTGGTACATAGCAAAAGAAAATGCTAAATAAAAAAGTGTAGTGAGGTGCAAAATTATAACACATGGCTTGTTCCAGAAACAAATGCAGAGGCTTCTTTTTATAGATTCAGAGGATATCTATAATAAGATAAACAAGAAGTTCATGGGTGGGGTCTGTATAAATAATATCCTACTGATAGGAAAAATGACAGTATAAACAGGATATAATAGCAGTGCCTGCTGAATTTCCCAGCATGTTATTTGTAGCTTCTTTCACAGAATCATAGCTGCTTTCACCAACAGTGGATTTTTTTACCTCAGTAAGAGATCGAACAAGAATCTAAATTCTCACTAAAAATGGTGGGGTGGGGAGCATAGCCTTTGCTTTGGTAATAAACACGTGTGTTTTATATTCACTTTCAGGGTAAACCATTTTCTTTGGCTGTTAGAATTCTTAGAACATGATTTTCTTTTTAAATGACCTCTGGGGAAAATCAAGTGGGCAGAGTAAATGGGAAGAGCTTGAGTGAGTGCTCATCAGCCAAAGAACTATACTAATTGGATTCATGTCCTCTTGAAGAAGTTACTAAATGGAAGAAGAAAAAGATAGCATCTGTGAATTTTAAGACATTTATCACAATTTTATTCCCTTGAACGGTAGTTGTATAATGGAAAAGCAGCCATTAAACTTTAGAACACTAAAGTTCTAGTCCTGTTATTAAATAGCCTTGTGACTAGAGGCAAATTTGTAGCTTCTCTGTGTCTCAGTTTCCTTATTTATAAGATGAGGGGCTTAGGCCAAATATTTTCTAAGTATCTTTTCTAATTGTCAAATTCTACTCTGTTTTTAAACTGTTGAGTACATTTAAAAAGTATGAAATACCCAATACAGTGACTCATTCCCAAATGTAAGAATTTGTGTAAACAGAAGCTCTGAACCAGCTTTAGAAATGTTCCAGCTATACTCAGACCACTTCTCTTTTTAATTTATCTTTAAAATGAAGGGTAAAAACATTACATATTCAATGTAACTGTAATAATTTCTTTACAAAGGTGGGTATATATTGATCCTTTCCCTAAGCAGACAACTTCAGACCAAATATTAAAAACCAACTAAAGTGTCACTATACCTTTTTTAAAAATGTAATTTATTTTTTGGAGTAGTTTTAGGTTCATAGTAGAAGTATAGAGAGTTCCTATATACCTCCAGTCCCCCACATGGGCACAGCCTGCCCTACTATCAGCATATGGCACCAGAATGGTACATTTGTTATAATCTATGATCCTACATGGACACATCATTATCACCCAACGTCCAGTTTACATTAAGTATAAATGGGTATTGTACATTTCAAGGGGTTTTGAAAAGTGTAACATAACTATCCATAATTCATAGTATCACAGGATGATACTGTAGTTTCACTACCTAAAAATTCTTTGTGCTCCTCCTCTTCATCCCTCCTTTTCCCCAGCCCCTGGCAACCACTGATCTTTTCACTGTCTTCAGAGGTTTGCCGTTCCCAGAATGTTATACGGTACACAGTCTTTTCAGGATGGCTTCTTTTTATAGTTTCAGAGGATTTCTGTAAGAAGATAAGTTTATTCACT